GCAGGGATGGAAGGCTTGGTTGGCCCGGGCGACTCACGACCCAGGATTTGATCCCCGGACCGCTCGCGTGGTGAGCGTGCCACTTGCCACTACACCACTTCCGCCCATCTAATCATGTTAAATGTTATAATTTTGGAATTGCCAAGCCTTCACCATTTCACGTAACAAGCAATTTTGCACCTCCTACCGGCTCGTTGGTGTCACCCCGCAAGTGGACCCATGGTGAGATGGAAACTTCTGTTTACATCACAATACGCATCAAAGCCGAGAGTCGGGATCAGGTGCCAAGAGCTGGCACCTGACCCCGATCCTTCCTACTGAGGCGGGCGGGTGCAATGGCAGATTGAAAGCAAAGTTAGAGGGGAAAAGGTTGTCCAAAGCAACCTCTAGCAGTGAGTAGTAGAATGCCCCAGTAATGCAGATCTCTGAATTCGGTGGTGGCAATTGGCACCGCCAGGGTTTTATTGGATGCCACTGGGAATCTAATTCATGGATCAAGAATTGGGTAACGACGTCACGTGCCACGAAACGGGTTTTTGGAAACTCAATGATTAAAATTAAGGTTTCTCCCCCAGATAATTTAATTTAGTCTAACTTAATCGGACCCTTAATTACCGAAGGCCAGTCTAACGTAGCAGAAGGAAAGGTGCCTCACTCTTGTTTTGGTGCCCTCGATTGAGTTACTTTTCCTTATGCTTTCAATATTGCTTATTTCTATTATTTTCCTGTTTTTTTTTCAACTTATATGTCAGTTGATTGTTCCTAATATGTCGCATTATTGCATATTCTCCCGTCTGAACTGGCGATTATAAAGATAAAGATAAAATAAAGTTTGAAAAATGAAAACGCGAGTTTCGACAAATGATATCCGAATACTAGATGTTCTGAAACATGTGGGCTCTCAATGAAAAGGATGGCTTTACGAGAGGGAATGTTCAAGGAAGAAAAGGATTGTCAAAATCTCAAAATATCGGTTCAGTGAGCTAATGAAGAGCACAAGGAGTTGAAAGCCGGTTGTCCACTATTATCTTGGCGATGCGCCATGTACTCGACTTCTCTCAAATGTATCTACTGTAGGCTATAGGAAGCCTATTTCAGTTGTGGAACGACATGCGATGGTTAAGCTCTGTCGATGCAGTTTGATAAGGTTTAAACATTTGAGCTGTGGAAAGGTTCGCGTAGGTTACGCCTGAAAGCCGGTTTGGGTTGTCACTTACGGAAAAACTATCGGCTATCGTTCCAAATGGAAGTGCGAACTGAAATCTCTCAGACTTGGGCGTGCATCATCTACGAGCACCGTTTAGCGAAGTGAGAAAAACGAGTCGAAATGTTACAAAAGAAACAGAAAGTCCAGTCATTGCCACAGTTAGAACGGTTAGACGAAAGTGGACGAAGAACAGGTTCAGTCACCACGGTGACGATAGCACATGGCTAATCGGCGCCGTGGATTCTGCGGATTCACCTTAAGACCAAGCAGTGGACGACCCTCACGACTTTGGCCAATAAGCCGTAATGAGACAAATTCCGGATTCATTTTGGCCACTCCTCGTACGTAGTCCTCGAATTCTGGGAAATCTGGGAAATCATTGTAGCGTGTGAGATCGAAGAACGGTGTGTCGCCGCCTGCTGCTATCGCACGCTGAATTACAAAGCACAATTGACTCTGGCGGGCCGACTGAGAGAGGGCGCGGTCGTCCCGAAGGATAAAGGTGTAAATTGAGAAAAAAAGAAAGCGCATGCAAGACGAGCACAGCCAACAGTCGTCCGCATGTCGAGGTGAGCGCGAACGTTTCGCCTCTGCGCGCGGGTGGGCCTAACTGGCGAAAACGCCACCGCCATCATACGATCAACAAGTGATCCTTTTTTGAAGCGAAATGCTGATCAGCGAGTGGCTAATTCATGCGATTCGAGAAGTGTTAGCGGCAAAAGTACGATGATGGACGGGTTCTACCTATCAAAAGAGGGGGGAGGCAAAAAAGAGTCGCTTTGCCCACGACGCACATCATCGAAGTTTTCGTCGCACAGGGTGCCGTTGTTCCCCCATATGCAGAGGCAGGCCCTTCATTATTGCCCTCATCGACTTCAGGATATGACGCCATCTACCATCGCCGTCGAGCACACAGGAAGCACCCTACGTTATCTTACATTCACCTGATCTGCTACGTAAATCTCTTCGAATCATTTTAAGTGATGAACAGCTTTCTAACAGACACTAGCTGTGACTATGCAGACCAGCTTCATTTGCCCAAGCTTACCAGTGATCGTCGCAATGGTCTAATACACTCAGCCGTCCCGTGCGCAAAAGATCAGAACGAGGGGGTCGTTTGGCCGAACGAAAGGGTAGGGGGTCGTATACACAGGGACCCGCGGTGAAATGCATGGAGAAAACAGGAATAAATGTAACAGCTAAACGCAACTACAATCGCGATAATAACACCGTCTCCAGGGAGTGGAAGGCTTTCAAATGCTAGTGCGAACTGCTAACCGCAGACAGGTGCACCGGCCGTAACCAGACAAGGAAGCGATCTAAAGCAGAGAGCACCAACTTCACGAGCAATCTCTCACAGCGTCTTCAACAATCTAAGTGAAGAAAGTTGGAACCTTGCTAACACGACATATCAAGCGACTCCTCAAAAATTCTGGCAGACCGGAAGCTTTCAGGAAAAATTTTGCATACGTTGTAAAGCACTCTTCATGTAGACTCCAACACTTTATACCTCTTCTCATTTTTTTGAATTTTGAAGGAAATTATGGACTTTTGAAGATTGCAAAGTCGCGTTTCAGGAAAATGGCTTGAAAAAAATCGGGGAAAAAACGAACAACGAACCCGGTCCCTTTCGATTTCTAATTAGTCTTTCACAACTACAGGGACCCAGTTGACACCTGAGAAAGTTACAAACGTTTGAATATTGAAAACTCGCGCCTTCCTAAAAATCGGACTACAAACCCCTAAAAAAAGGAACAAAGGGACTTTTTTCTGGGGGAGTCTTGGAAAATTTTCAGGTGCTTGTTTGAAAGCGCTAATCTTCTAGTTTCTAATTAGCCTTGACATTTGCAAAAAGTTGATTATGAAGAAAGTTATGAATGTTTGAATGTCAAAAACTCGCGTGTGCACAGAAAACGGAACAACGGGACGATTTTTTGAAATATTGAACATCCACAACATTTCAAATACTCCTCAGGAAGAAAACTATTTATATTTTCAAAATTTTGGTGTCCGATTTTTTGTATCCCATCTTAATGAGCAACCCTGCTTTGACGAAAATATGACTATGTGAATAGAGGTTTTCTATTGTAGCTAAATTGCTACGGATTTAAGTTATTCAGATTAAAAATAGGCAGATTGAAAAACGGAAAAAAACTTGTAGGTTTAGAAATTTCTGTGGTAACTAATCGTTCAACGTTGAGGCAGTTGTGCAACTGAACAACCACACCAAAATGTCGATTTGCGTTCTGTCGCGGTGTTCATGTAATATTAAAATCTACTCAAAAATGAGTAAACATTCTTTATTTATTGATGAAACTTCATGTTGCCGTTCCCTTCCTGCTGAACGATACAAAGCGCCCGATGACCATGGGTTTCACCACTTTCTTCAATGTCGGTGACTGCTCTCAATTCTGCCCGATCTGAAAGGAGGGGGTCGAAAAATTTTGAGAGCTTGCCTCAGGCGCAGGTCACACTGTCTGTATCCCTCGACGACCTCGTTGAGATATTTTACAGTTTACCATAGTTTCCGTTGGATACTTTTTCTGAATGGTGGAGAAATGTCGTGTAGTTTTTTGATAAAATATGGATAATAATAATAATAGGTCTTTCACCATTTTCAGCAGTGGCTCATTCGTTGAATTTGCAAGTTGTGTATAAATTCCGTTGTTAAGTTGACGGAATGCCACTTTTTGTTGTCCTCCTCCCTTCGCCCATTGGGTCAATCCTACTTTGTACTTTAGTACCGAAGGTGTCGTACGTTTGTTTGAAGTTGTGTGGGCGTAGGGGCGTACTTTGCTCGATAGCATATGAAATTATATGCCCTCCCCTCCCTTAAAAAATGTTGGCACGTGAAATATTGTAAAGAGCGAAATAATGAGGGAAAGAGTAAAGGGAAGTGTATGGGAATTTTTTACGGTTTCACTGTTTATTATTCCGTCCCTCTCATGCTCCGTCTCGCGTATTTGAGGGGAAAAGAAGTCGATGGAGATAGCGTCGATTGAATATTTCTTGATTGAGGAGGTGGTCGTATAAATTTTTCAAAATGTCCTTACACCGGTAAGAACACTTTAACTCCTCCCTTCTCTTATTACAATTTTTCTCGCTAAAACGTAGTTTATCGGGTTTGCCATCTAGTGCTGTGTCCACTTCAAAAATATTGGGTACTGTTTGCAAAATATCTAATTTGAAATCATTTTTCGGTAGATGTCAGTCATTTAATTAAACTCTTATTTCGAAATGAATGCAAGTTATTTAATTCTTCGAAACTGGTGCAGTTAATACTTAACTAGTAATTTTCATATGTAGTTGTGAATGCTTGATTAAAAAAAATATAGGTACTTGTCAATTGCAATTGACGGCAGAAAAAAATAAAACCGGTTATAATTGAAATTCATATCAAATTGAATAATTCAAAAACAAACACGAGAGTGCAAACCTATCAGAGCCACGTTTGCAGGGACTACCGGGGTCTTATAGGCCTGCAATCAGCTGAGATGTTTGAAATGATCTCGCTTCGTTTCACCCACTTCCAGCCAAAAAGTTTGGTCCGCCCTCCAATAAATTTATAACTAAAATGAATCAAAATTAAGACTGATTTCATCAACAAATTTGTGCATTGTGTGGATTTGGCTATGACGTGCTGCCATGGGTGATGTGATCTTTGGAGCACGATTATCTATTCGATTCTCGCCAGAACGCCTGGCACCTGCACCACAAGTGGCGGCGCCAAAGGAGCAAGAGCTCTTGAATCACCAAATTCGCCTGACACCGGTCAGCTGATCCGTAGTATGAAAATCACACCAGTTCGTTAAGAGTGTGCCCATAGCCTGGTGTTGAACGCCAAATGCAAAACTAATCGTATATCCGGCGCCCACGACGCGGAGGCAGACGCTTTCCTTACCGTTAAAACATGTGATATTTTTGTTCTTATCAAACCGAAAAAACCTCATAGGCCCAATTTTTAGTCAAATCCACAGACCATCAATATTCGATAAGAATTTTTGATAGTGGCCGCCAGTTATCATCAAAACTCTGGCTCGACTCTTCACGCGCTACCTGTCGGAATGCAAGGTACCCACTCCGTGGAAAACCAGCAGGACCGTGTTGCTGTACAAGAAGGGAGACCTGGACGACATTGGCAACTATCGCCCAATCTGCCTGCTGTCTGTAATCTATAAACTATTCACTCGAGTCATCCTCAACAGGATCGGCAGAATACTAGATGAAGGACAGCCATGCGAGCAAGCAGGGTTTCGAAGAGGGTTCAGCACGATCGACCATATCCACACGGTTACAAGACTCATTGAAGTTTCACGAGAGTACAAGATGCCGCTTTGTCTCACGTTCATCGACTTGAAGAAGGCCTTCGACTCTGTGGAGACAGAAGCGGTCATCGAAGCCTTGGGCAACCAGGGCGTCCCTACTCAGTACATCAAGATTCTTCGTGAGCTCTACAGCAACTTTACGACCAGAATCTCACCATTCTACAAGGAGGTCATCATCGACGTCAAGAGAGGGGTCCGACAGGGCGACACCATCTCGCCCAAACTCTTCAGCGCCGCTCTCGAGAACGTCATGCGTCAACTGGAATGGGAAGACATGGGAGTGAAGGTCGACGGCCGGCAACTACACCACCTTCGTTTTGCTGACGACATCGTTCTTATAACGCCGAACATCGAGCAAGCGGAGCGAATGCTGGCTGATTTCGACTGCGCCTGTGGTAAGGTTGGTCTACAGCTGAACCTAACGAAGACGATGTTTATGAGAAACGGATTGGTTCCTGATGCCCCATTCACGCTCAACGGAACGAACATCACCGAATGCTCCAGCTACGTGTACCTAGGTCGGGAAATCAATATGATGAACGATCTAGCTCCAGAGCTGAGCAGGAGGAAACGAGCGGCTTGGGAGCGTACAAGAACATCGAGGGAGTAGTGAAGAAGACGAAGAACATCCGGCTCCGTGCCCACCTCTTCGATTCCGCTGTCCTTCCTGCCCTAACCTACGCCTCAGAGACTTGGACTCTGCGCAGGCAGGACGAGCATGCGGTCAGCGTTATCCAACGCGCTGTCGAGAGGACGATGCTAGGAGTAACCCTATACACGCAAGTGCAGAGGGGAATCCGGAGTGCCGAACTACGCCAACGATCGAAGATCAGGGACGCTGCCGTTTTCGCCAAGGAATCGAAGATAAGGTGGGCCGGACACGTCATGCGATTTTGCGATGACCGTTGGACCAGAGCGGTTACCGACTGGATCCCTCGGGACGTCAAACGAACACCTGGACGACCGCCGGCCGATGGTCAGACTTCTTCACGAAAGCTCTGAACGAAAGGAATGAAGGACATCGTGTCCCTCGAGCGAGGAGGGTCCACTGGACACTCTTGCACGCGACAGGGACGAATGGAGACGTTGCTGGCGCCCGCTCGAGCAATTCGATGATCAACGGGACGACAGGTGATACAGGTGATACGGCTTAATCAGGCCGACAGTGCTAAGTGGTAAGGTAAACATACTATGTTTTTTATTTATTTATTTATTGCACGCTTAGGTGCGCTATACTAATTCACATCGAGCATCAAAGAAAATTAGAGAACACAGAACATTAACTAAGTGAACCAGCTAGGCAGCGCTGA